GCATTTTAAAAATGTGTCAAAAGATACCAGCATCATAAGCATGGATTAATTAAGCATGGATGGAAACGCTGCAAGCCACAGCTGCCTGTGTTAGCATCACCAGCCAAACACTGCAGGACTTGATTCAGATGAAAGACAATACTAAGAGAGATACAAAGGATACAGAGAAACAATGACCATTACCTGTAGGCTAGAACAGATTAGCCCACGGGTATTTGGGCATTGGTTCTCCAGGTCCAACTCTGTTGTCAGAAGGAAACACTCTTTACGGACGAATGGTATTACTTCAATATGTGTTTTGATGTTGGTGATAAAAAGCCCCTTCTACACTTTAGTTATCAAACCATTCAGTGGCCTCATGTGCTTGTATCGGCATCATCACCCTGGCAGTTGGCAGTGTTGATGAAACGCTTCATCAGTTGTCTCTGTATGACAGTTTTTAACATCGAGCCCACTCTCATTAATATTCACATGTCAACATGTATTTCTTTTTGGCACGCAAGTAAAGATTAGGAATCAGAGAAACTTCTAATGTTCTCAAAATGTATCCCTGTAATTGACATGAAATTGTCCAAACTCAATCTTAGGCTTCTTACTTTTTGACTTAAATTAAATAAAAATCCAGTTAGTTTTCCAAAAGCAGATGTGGAGTTTGGAAAGCTCTGAAAACTCCCGTGAAGACCTAGAAAGTCTGTTTCAACAGAGCCCTGATGTAACGTCCTGCAATGTCTCCTCTGGAGTAGCGCGATCAGCGTTCTTCTTTGCCATTGTTTTAAAACTTCCTTTTAAGTCTTTATTATCTTGCAATAATATTCCACGGCATGTCAGCAGACCCCAAAAGCCATGCTGATGTTGTCAGTATTAATGGCAAGTCATGCACCTCCAGGCAAGGGCTTATTCACTGCGTGACACGCTGTCTATCACTTTGTCATTTTTCCTGTCTTACACACTCACGTCAGTGTGTTGCCTCTGGTCCAGCCTTGGTATTTTGAAAGAGAGCACAGCTGCAAAGCCCTACATTTAATCCGCTCCACCCGCTGGTGTCGCCACCTTTTTTTTTTTTCAAAATGACAGCGAACAATTAACGGGAAATTAGTCACCAAAGCTCAAAGTACTTAAAGATCCACCACTTGTGATATTGGTAAAAGTATATATATATACTCTTCAGCCCACCAGACCTGTTAATTGTTACTGGCAAGAAATTGAAATTGTAGCTTCACATCAGTGTAAGAAGATAAATATATAATTTTTGCGAAATATTGCAAATACACTTGACTACAGATACATCTCAGGTGAAAATACTGACCGCAAACCACCAAAAACAAAAGAATAATTACACATCCTTTTGATTTATGCCAGAATTGATCCATAATTTAACCCCACAAATCCAAAGGGACCTTAATTAAATCCCCTTTTTTCAGTTTTTCTTTGACAGTAAAAGCTTGTTGTATAAAGCAAAGTTTTTATTTAAGCTAGAATCCGAGTCTGTTCCCCGAGTGCTACAATACCTCATACAGCACACAATGTCAAATGTTGCTGCAGCTCGAGGAGGTGGTGGTGTGGATAATGCCTGCTTTTGTGCTGAGGCGTTTAAAGACCACATGAGTTTAAACTCGAGTGTTTTTAAAGTATTGTAATGGTTCTTTTATTTATGTTATTTATTTAGATTCTTCTTTTTTTGGATATATGAGGTAAATGGTCTGGTACATGTATAGCCACAGCTTTTTCATTCATTCAATCACACACACATTCATACAGCATACACCCAAGCACTTTTTCTAACATTCACACACACTCTGATAAATGCATCGGGGGCAACTCAGGGTTCAGACATGCAGACTGGAGGAGATCGATCCACTGACCTTCCCACTGGTAGATGACCCACTCTACTGCCTGATCCAAAGCCTCCACCTGCACCCTCTATGCTTTTCAGTGTTTCTGTGGAGAACAGTTAGAAGGTTTATTTGGCAATGACACACCATGACCAAGACTCCTGTGGTGATTAATCAAATCCAGCCAGTGTTCACCTTCAGGGTGTTTCTCTTTTTTCCGACTTCACTGTCCTGTCCTAGAATTTTGGAAATTCAAAATGATGAGAAACTGAGCCAAGTGCACCTGGGAGAGGATCTGCAAAGTGAGAAGCTGTCCTTCAGTTGAATTCAATTCAGTTTCATTTACATAGTGCCAACAAAAATAGTCACCTGAAGGAGTAATAAATATATTTGTATTATGATTTAAATAGACATTTACTGTAATAAGCTGTTTATGGTGATTACAGTACATTTGGAACAAAACAGCTGGAACTCTTACACTTCAGTATTTACATTTCATGCACAACAACACTGTTTTTACAGTAAGAAACTTATTGTAGATTACAGTAAAGACACTGTCAAACCTACAAATCTAGCTACATTACTGTAATTGCCTTCAGTCAACACTGATTAAGGCTGATATTGTACATTATTAATATTAGTGTTATAAAATATTAGTTTATTTCTCAGGCAATGAGTAGTTAAGCTTAGTTTGATAAAAACAAATTTAAACAGACGTGTTTCTTCCTTTATCAAAAGAAACTAATAAACTGCAGCATTGTGTGCAGAAAGACAAAAGAGAGAAGCTATCTGAGCTCCGATAAGATTAATAGAAGAAAGCAGTCAGGGATGGAGCAGAGCGCTGGCACAGATTTCCAGGGTGAAAGCTAGCAGATTTCCAAAACAGTCCCCATAGATGCAGCTATTTATGTGGAGAAATGAACCATTACTGTATCTAATTTGTGGCAAATTGATCCTGGAGACTAGGGCTGTCATCCATCCTCGTGCTTGTGTGTTTAGACGCCGATTTATACTTTGTCAGAGGGGAATAGAGCTGGGAGGACAAATGTGTCAGCTCACTGCCTCGCTCAGGCTCCTGTCACAGAAGAGCTATGATGGTGAAGAAAGCAGCTGGGGAAGGATTCACTCATATTTTGGCAACAGGAAGCTCCGCAGGCGGACATAAGTGAGGAAACCAACCTTCAGGTGACATAATGAAGTGAAGCAGGGCATGACTTGTACCTTATTTAATCTCTCGATATTGTTAGCGAGTACAAAACAGGAAAAAACAACAAAAAAAAGCAAATAAAAACGTAATTATGGTCTGGAATAAAACGACTGCCAGGGTGAAGTGAATAACACTGATCATCCGATTACAATGCAGCGTTCTGCTGGGAAACCTTGACAAGCCAAACACACCCCGACAGCAGTGGTCTCCCCCCAGCTGCACATGAACTCAGAACATAACAAAGATTTGGACAATTCAGTGAGGAAGCTGAAGTCCACACTGAAAGTAAAGAAAAATAACAAAACTTGTAAATGTGCAGAAAACAAATGGAAAATCAACCACAGTTTACCTAATTAGAAACCTGCGGAGCCTATACTACCACAGTGTTGTTATGCTGACCTTTCCAGCCCCAAAATTTACATTTCAAACTTTAAAACACATAGAAAAAAGACTGAAAACTTTATCTTTTACCCCCTTCACGCACAGTGGCCTTTGGCCCACAGCTTTGCCTCTGTACTCGGGAACAAATACAGAGGAAGAGTGCAGCGTGGTCGAATTTTGAATCACTGATTAAAATATTGCTGTAAAAGTAGAAAGAGAAAACTTTAAAAGATGCCGGAGGCAGAATTAATGTTTAATGAAGGCTTTTAATAGACATGCAAATTTCCACAAATGTATAAATAACCATTAAATAAAGACATCTAGAACTACAACTGAGATTTGAATCATTGCTGCTGCTATCAGCACTGCTCACACTGCAACTACAACTTCATTTAGAAGTAACCGCCTTCAGGGTCAGAGGTTAAACTGCTGTTGTCAAGATAGTCTTTTGAACTGGTAACTGAAACGGAAACGTTAAGTGTCACTTCGTTAATTGACATTGCATTATCCCCATCTAGTGGTAAAAACCACATGATGCAAGTGTTTGCACATCAAATTAAAACACCATCCAGCGCACGATGAAAACACTGCTGCTGAGGACTAACTTTGACTCTAATGTAAAGCTACAATAGGAGGAAGGTTGCAAAACTTAAGTATGATGTGATGAAACTCAAATATGGTTCTCTACATCTCTCAAACATCAATATAGTCCTCATTTTTTAACATAAATCATTTGCTTCTAAAACATAATCAAATATCTTTTTTTTAACATCATTTAGACATTGGTCTGTGCTAATTAAGCTCATCTGTCAGTGCAAATCAACGCATTTTGTCCATTTCATGTTTTTAGTTTTTATGTCTTGTTGAAAATTTTTAGATAAGGTTAAAAAATAGTACTTGTACTAACAGCAATAATGCTAGCAATATTAGTAATGATGACATCACATGCATAAAAGAAAAGTTTGAAAAGTGCATCAGAATAAAAAGAAATATAAATAAATAAATAAATAAATAAAAGAGATAAAAACATTTTGCAGTGCTTATAGAATTAATACAGTCAGCGTAAAAGTTAAATAAAACAAATAAAAACTATTTTATTTATTTATTAAACTCTTACTATTATTGTTAATTCAAAAACAATATGCTTTGTTTTATAATATTTAGAAATATCTAGGGTTAATATTGTGCTTTATATTAAATAAATAAATAAATAATGATAAAAATAATAATTTTCAAAAACCCTTGGAAAAAAATAATGTCAGTCAAAGTTTATAAGAACTTATTTGCAAAAAAAATAAAAATGTAATAAAAAACTGAATTAAACCCATTAAATTAGATGGATGGATGGAGCCGGTCTCGGTGGAAGGGGGCGGAGTTTCCTGCGTTGTTTGAAGGGTGGCTCACAGAAAAGTAGTTGTGATGGCAGCGGAGTGAGCATCTTTGTCCTTGTGTACTTTGTAGATGAAACCTGGACCTGTGGTGAGTAAAAACGAGGCTCTTTGAAAGTCATGCGCCTGCTGTTTTGCGTGTCTCTGCTGTGCTCGCTGGTTTTATGCGGCCGTGGAAGGGCTGAGTTCACTCCGGCTGCGGGACACCCTCTGCATGCCGATGATGGGAACTTTTCAAACCAGGATCCCAGGAAACAAGAGCCCTTTCAACTCCAACAGCAAGCGCTGGAGCCCAGGCCAGGTCGGTGTAACGTCGATTTAAAGTTTACACTCTGTCCTCAGTTAAATGTTTGAGGAGCAAATGAACTGCATTACATCCTGAGAACATAATCGGTGTTTTTAACAGTTCTTTTTATATATTCATGCTTCATCTTTCTTCCCCAAAAGGCTGCAAGTACCATATTATAGACTAAGAAACCTTTATTGAGCTGGCTTAGACCATCTGTATGAGGATTTTCTCACAAATCTGCAGATTTGCTCATGAGCAATAAGTGATGTTGGATCTTCCTGCTGCCAACTCATGAGTAAGGTGTCTCCATCTGTCTCCTTTTAGTGCATCGCCACCACCAGGCACAAATTTGATCATTTCGTGTGCACATTATTTACAACATTATGACAGTATTAACATGTTAAAGTGTTCTGGGATTTGGCCAAAAAGCATGTCAAACACATGCTTGGAATACAGCTCAGACAGCTCTCGATATCAGCTCAGTCTAGATTATAATTCCATGCAAATCATCTGCTGGCGCTACAGCAGGCTCATTCTTCTTTTTAACTTCTTCAATTTGTCTCCAGCTGAGCTGTTTTAATTCACGACATTTAAGGGAGAATCTCATTCGGAAGCTCGTCTGTTCTTCTCCCTCGCTCGCAGACACGCTTGAGCTTTTCGTGACAGACTTTCTGCTTCCAGAGGAGCTGAAAGAGGGATTTGTGACCTCGCTCTTATCAACTGATTTCATGACTTATTCATGCTGATGTAGGAGTGCATTACCATCACATGATCCCCCGGTCTGTGTTGTTGACTACAACACTTGGAAATGTACCCAAGCATGCTGTCGTCTCTGGCCATCCCTCCCCCCATCTGCAGGCCTGCAGCTGAGTCCTGACAAAACCACGTCCTCTTAGCTTCCCTGTCCCTTCAGTTCCAAGTAAACTCCCAGGGGGAACAAATGCCCACTTTCCACTTGAGTTAAAAACAAAACACCCCCCCCCACCCCCACAAATACAGATGGCCTCTTCACCCACACTGAGATTAACGTCTTCATTGTTGTTCCCTTCAGAACGAGCAGATCGGCAGACTTAACGATTTACTCATTCGGCCTCGGGGAACATTGTAATTATTTGACAAGCATGACCATTTTAGGACATCAGCCCCTACTTCACTAACCAACCCCCAACCTCCAATGTGATTTTTTTTAATGACTTAAACCTTTCTTCGGTTTGATATTGCTGACTTATGCTTGTTGTACCCCACATATTAAAAAGGTTTAATTGTGTTGTCGTCCATCAGTGGAATATGTGGCCCAATTCCAACACATACAGACAAATGTGGGGGAGGGTGGGGGGGGGGCACAAGAGATAAGTCCCTGTGGGACCATCTGTCTGGTCTGAAAACTGACCAGTCAACATGTTTGCGTTCCTTCCTGTGGATCTCTGATCGTTGTTGTCATGTCTGATAAAAAGAAAAAGGTGATAATGTGGTGATGCGTGTCAGCATTTAGCCACAGACAGAGTTTTCAGTCATTATCGCCCACTTTAATATTTCACTTCAAATCTGCACATATTTATAAAGTAAAGCTTTGTGGAATTCTTTATTACTTTTCCGCGGAGGATGATAACACCATTCCAGCCACATTGTACACACAATATGGAATCCATTTCTCATCTGCACTCACTGACCTCAGACGGCCCACTTCATAAACCTGGTTGAGTTCGCCAAATGGGGAGATTATAGTAATCTGGCACGAAGCACCTCCACTACAGATTTAGTGACCCCCTTCTGTTATGCTTGGCCACTAAGGTGGAACACACATGAAGCGGAGGCTGCCTCTCCCAACACAAGCCTCCTCGTGTCCATCTGCACTGGTGTAAGTATCTTGGTGGGTTGATGATAAAACAGCCAAATGGACATGTTTGTTTCTCATTGTGGCTGAAAATAAGGAGCTCCGGGCATTTGTCTGCCTCTGATCAAAGAGAATTGTTCGGGGCAGTGATATGGCTTGATGTGGTTATCTGGCTTTGGCACTTGGTGAAACACTGGGAAAGCTGGTCGCATAAAGCTTCATGAGTTTGCAGTAAACCTTTGGCATCTCCTTCGGAAGCAGGATTATAAGCAATCAAAGCAGCAGCGATTTCATCCGCTGCTGCTGTCAGAGTGGTTTTGTCACCATTAGAGAAAGATGCTTATGGCATTACATCGCTGCTGTGGCAGTAAGCAACACTTAGCCATTAATAAAAAGTGTTATGAAGGCATTTTCATGAGCTCATGGTGAAAAATAACTACAGAACTGATGATGATCCAGCTGTTGAGCTTTACGACTCCCCAAACTCACTTTCCCAGCTACGCCAGAGGTGCAGCTCAGTTGACAGTGTTTATTACAGTGCATAAGGTGAAGGAAGCTAATGTAGCTCTTACCACAGTGTTGCATCTGTACACAGTAAGCTCTTTGCATGGAGCATTTTCCTTTTCAGCAGCTTTATTATATTTGATATGGGTCACTGGGCTCAGATGTTTACAGCTATTCTGTGCAATCATTCGTTTGATTTCTTTTTCTTCAGTAAATATGTACTGCTTTGTCCTCGTGCTTAGTAAGCTACCATGACAGAAAGATGGATCCACAGAGTTTTTTTACTTCATTGAACCACTGCTTGTGTTTGGACTGCTGAACTTGGCTGTGGAAAAAGTCACAATTTAAAGATGCATTAATTGATTTTTTTGCCACTTAGCAAAATACGATATGAGCATTAGCACCTAGCTACCTTTTTACACACTCAACTCTGATATTCATCTGAAAGGCTGAGGTACCTGTCACGTGTTACTCCAACTCCTATAGAAAAAATAGTGTGCGGAAACGCAAGAGTGAGGACCCACATACAGGATGCAGACTTAAAACCAAAAGTGAGCTGTTTTATTTGGGATGATGCAGACTGATAGAGTCCAAAATAAAATCCAAAATGAGAATACAAAGAAGAAATCAGGTAGGGTGCTCAGCACACACTGTTCACTGAGGGGACTGAGGGGAGGGTAGGACTATTTATACACAAAGTGATAATCAGGGAAGTGGAAACAACTCAGGGAATAAGACACAGGCGTAGATAATTCGAGACAGAAAATAAGGCTCGAAATCAGGCACCATGGCAGATATGTGGATCTGTAACAGCTCAATAGGTAGTAGCAAACTTTGTCTGCTGTTTGGTGACGAGCAGAGCTGAAGTGTGCAGCGCTTCATAGAATCTTCTGAAACCCTGTCCACTGGAGGGGAAGACACGAAAGTCTACAATATGTAAATAATTAAATCTAACAAAATGCATTGGATTATCTGTGCCAGATATTTATTTTAGCACCATCTGGTTACTGTTAGCTACATGCTAGTGAGTTACTGTAGGTAAAGAAATTGCTAATATAAAAATGTTACTCTGAACTTTGTTAATTGTCCACATTTTCCTGCAAGAAAAATCACCAAGCGTCTTTCAAAATGATTAACTTATACAAATGCAGTAGTTTAAAATTGAAATTTATTTATTAGTGGCTGCACTTATAGACACATGACGTGTTTTTTCTGTACCCACCATCAGAAAGATATTTAAAGTGCATGACCACACTGCAGCCCAGACCATAGACTGTATATAAAAGATGGCTGTAGCTTCCCAGTCTCAAATGCAAAGTCCATTTCATTTTCCAGCGGGGGGAAGATGGTAAAAAGACAAGAATCTGAGTGCCTCGGGCTGTTTTGATCTGTGCCATCAGTGCACACTTCACTGGGTAAATCATCAAGTTCATTTTGAGAGTCATGGCCCCCCATTAGGATAAAAAAAGGATTACTAAGCAATTGATTTCTGTGTAAGTGACAAATAGCTTCAGAAGCCACAATGGTGACAGCAAAAATGCTGAATTTGAGTCTTGACAGAAGGACTTTTACCAGGACTAACCAATGGACCACATCATTTGGGCGCATGCACACGCAGCAACCGGCAGTGAATGAGAGCTTGGCGTCAGAATCACCTTAATTAAAAGTCAGAAAATAGAGCAAGTGCAATCATATAAATATCTTGGCACCATAATCAATGAAAAACTGAACTTTGATCAGAACTGCAAATCAGTTGGTAAAAAGGGTCACCAGCACCTTTACTGCCTCAGGAAACTTGCTCATTTCCACATTGACCAAAAAAATTGAACTTTGTTTTATCATTCTGTTATTGAGTCTGTTTTATCCTTTTGTTTGGTGGCATGGTTCGGTCAGACCTCAGTCACTCACTGAATCAGATCGTGAGATGGTCCAGTCACCTGATAGGTGAGCCACAGTCTTGTTTAGCGATGACTTTATCAATCCTTAAAAATGGTTCCCATCCTCTACAGGGTGAATTTCAGCTTCTTTCCTCAGGACGGAGGTTTCTATTTCCACGATGCAGGACTAAGCGTTATAAAAACAGCTTTGTCCCTGTAGCTGTTACTGAATTAAATAAGAACTGTTTTTGATTCGAAACATTAAATTATTATATATGTGCTACAGTGAGGTTTATATTTATTAGGTATTTGTGTTTTTGAAGGGATGCCAAATGCTATCATTTTTTTCCGTAAAGCAAATTTAACTTACCCATGGGTATGAATAAAGTTACCCACCTTACCTAGGTGCCTAAATATATATTTTGTATGCATTCACTGTAGAAGACAGAATTGACAAGGAGATACGTTGGCATAAAACGAAAGCAGCTGGGAGCCATGAATCGTTTTCTTCACCAGGGTGGGCGGGGCTTTATCAAGCACTGTCTCTCTAAACATGACCTTGTATGCAAGGCTGCGTATTGAGGATTTAAAACAAAAATAAACAGCTAAAAGAGGCTAAAATACTCTAATCTAATCGTGTTATGGATTTAATCCAATGCTTAAATAAATATTTTGATTAGTGTAGCTTAATGCATCGGCTTCATCCTTTAGTCAGTGATTCTTGTTTGGCTGTGATGGATTACTGAGTATTTTGTATTGTTATGCGACACATTGCCCTTTAGAAGTCTCCATTAACCTTTTTATTGGGCCTCGGTGTTCAGTGTGAAAGTGGCTAATTGAGTAAGGTGCCTAAATGGGATTCTGTGGCTGCTGCTTGAAACATTTAATGATTAGGAGACTCTCACGAGAATTACAGTATTGAAAATATGTACCCTAGGCAGCTGTCTGCATGCTGATGTGGCAAAATGTTGCTGTGACTGCATGCTTTGCTGGACTAATTGCCCACTTTCAACATTAGCATTTGTGTCCCCATCTTTACAGTCCACTGGGATTAATTGATTGATGCCCTCGAGGGATTCCGTAAACTAATTTTCTTGTTGTTTTGTCAATAATGTCTCGTCCAGGTTAATTAGCACTGCAGCCACCTCTGTTCTGCTGAAATATTAAAGTTCAGTATTTGAAGCTTTTAATGTTCATGGAGCTTAAAATGATACATTTTGTTCAGAGAACATCAGAAACTTGCTCGTTCAGGGGTTGCAGTGATGCACTCTTACATATTTTTACCTCCTCATCATAACTTCTATAAACTTGCAGATGTAAAGTGTCACATTTGTCAGAGCTGCAGCCATGACTATGCTCCCATCATTTTGTGAACCTGCAGTTATCGGTTTTCTTTCCCCAGGTTCTACCTTCAGCTTGAAGGTCCAGGTGAATGATGTGCTGAGTCGTCAGTACCTGAGCCAGGCAGTGGTGGAGGTCTACGTCAACTACACCAAGACCAAAACAGCTCTTTCTGGGGAGGATGGTGGGGTCTTGCTTCACATGCCTTACCACACTGGGATGCTTCTCACAGTTGTTGCCTGCCATGACGGCTACATTTGCACACTGCTGCCTTGTAAAACCGACAAAATGCCAAGTATGTCATCTGTTCAGGGTGTTTGCACATTGTGTGGATGTTTTTTTTTCCCATGCTAGCTCTCATTTTGAAATTTAGCTCAGCTCAAACCATTTATTCTTTGGTTATAGCTGAATGTCACATGTTTACACCAGCACTGCAGAGAGAGAAGAGAATTGTGGGGGTTTTATTTCATCATGAAAAGCAACCAGGGAAAACACTTTGATTCATGCGCACTTCTTTTCGAACATTCTCTGTTTGTGCAAGGCCAAACGTTCCTCCACCTTTCTTGCATTTGACACCTAATTAGCTTTTCCTGGCTGCTGCAATCTGTCCGGGATTATTTTTTGACCCACATCTGGAGTGTTTGCTTCTTTTGCTCCTCTTCCACATTCAATGCTACATTTTTCTTTTTAACTAAAGCTTTGAATTGAAACCTCTTTAAACCTGAGCTATTGTTGCTGTAAGCCTCTTCCAGAAAAAGGCTTTTCCCTTTGCTTGTATCATTTGAGGGGACAGTATTAGCATTGAAGAATAAAAACCCCCCACACTGCCATCTAGTGGAAGAAAAGTAAACCATAGTGTGCTAATGCTAATTTGGGTTCTTTCCTCCTTTTCTCTTTGTCACTACTGTAGTATTTTCATCAGTGACATTATCACTTCAGGGTGTGAATCAAGGGAACATCTGGCTTTTTGAGGATTCTGTCCTGATCACTGGGAGAACATCTGGTACTGTATAAGCTGTTAAAGTCACTGATGCTCCTGTTCTCTGTAATTGGGAAATGTAATGTCCTTACAAATGTTTTGTATCATTTTGCAGATGCTTCATCCCAGCCTGTGGTCAGTTTTCCTAAAACCCTGCTGAACCTGACACACAGCAGTAATATCACCTCTGTTAAAGCCTTCCTGACCATTCCCAGGCTGACGTCAGAGCAGGGGGGCTTCCTGGCCACTCGAGGCATCATGAGCAATAAATCTGGTATTTAGATGTATTTTTTGTTCTGCAAAAGCATGAATAGTATAGTCAGAGTTACCAGGTGTCTCACAGGTGCAATGCATTCATTACTTTTTTCTTTATACTTCATAATGTCTGCATTTGGGGGCAGCGAAGTGATGCAGTGGTTGCTTCAGAGCAAAAAGGTCCTGGGTTTAAACCTAGCAGTGGCTGGAGTCTCGTTGTGGAGTGTGCATGTTCTTTGGAGGTACTTGGGCTTCCTCCCATGAGGTTAGGTTAATTCTAAACCGACCATAGGTGTTTTTGAGCCAGCTCTCTGTGGTAAATGGACTGCTTCTTTTACAGTACTTTTCTACCATGCTTGAGCACTCAAAGCACTTTATACTATGAGTCTCATTCATAGGAGCACATTTTTCTATGCCTAAGTGCTTTCTATCTAACATTCACACACATTCACACTCTGAAACCCATCAGGAACAAGTCAAGGTTCAGTATCTTTCCAAAGAATACTTTGGCATTCATACTGGAGCAACAGTAGACACCGAGGTGCACCATACGTTTTGCCCCGTGACAGCTGGGAGAAGCTCCAGCCCTCCTTTTGACCCTGGATGGACATTTCGTTGATTCATTTAAAAAGTTATGCTATGACGCTATGACCAGTGTGTAAAATGGTCACCACAAAGCCACAAGCTATGCATATTTTGACAGAATATCATGGAAACGAAACAGAAAATGAAATGCAGCTCCAACAAAGGCCGGGAAACTACTTTTAACTGGGTGAAGTCGGCAGGAGACGATTGATCGAGTTTCCTTGAGTTATTTTTTAATTTCGTGTTGTGGAAAAAGTGATGTGAAGTGACACATTACTACACATGGCAGCCTCAAAAGAAACGTGTGATCTAAAAGACGTTGGATGCTGATCTGTGGATGCACTCCCACTGAAACCCACAGATGATTAGCAGACAGACAGAACGGCAGTTGAAATGAAAGTAACAGCGTGAAGACAAGTACTGGGGCACAAAAAGGGAATACATGAGTACAAGAAGAGCCGCTCAAGAACATAAAAACAAACTTTCTACTTGTCACATATATTTTTTTGAGGGAGTTTTTGAAATTGCCTTAAAACGGAATTTGTTTTCCTTTGGCGCCATCTTGTGGTTCTAAAGACAAATACACGTGAAATTTTGGCTTGAAGCAGTTAAGGCCTTTACACAGTTACATGAGTTTTGAATGGGTAACAATTATTTATAAGTTCTACACAGATTTAAGCAGTACTAAACTACAATACCAAAGCTGTATTACACTAAAGTATTATTACATGAACCTTTTATTCAAGAAAAGAAAAACAAAGCTGTCGGAGCTAAATTTGCCCAGGGCACATAATAACCTGCTCTTCTCTTACACATTTATTAATGTCCTCTAGGATACGTCAGTGTGGAGTTAAGCCCGGTGGCAGCTGTCAGCGTGCAGCTTTTCTCAGGAGACACGGAGTTACATGTGACTGGGCCTGTGCAGATGAACCTCAACATTCCCGACAGCTTTGGACTTCAGTCTTCGAGTGTTATTCCAGCCTGGTTCTTTAACCAGACCACTGGTGAGTAGAAATCATAATCACACACATACTAACGCCCCACTCATCTGATAAGTCATTAACATAAGTGCGAGAAAAGAGGATATAAGTGTAAAAGGGTTGCTGGGTCTCTTCAGGGGCATGGATGAGAAAAGGATTAGGAAAGGTGACATCAGTAGATGGAAGTCTTGTGTGGACTTTCACAGCTCCTCATCTCGGCTACTGGATCGCAGCACCTGTGTCATCTAACAGAGGTAAAAGTCACTTTTAGCAGTACAGACTTTCAGATATTTTCTGCACTGGAATAATTAATAAAATTGGATTTTATCATTGTATTAATTTCATTATTCACAACCTTGGAAGGCAGCGACTAATGTTACATATTATTACATATTTGATCATATTTTATGTTTTCTATTCTGGACTCTCTAAAAGTCCTCCTTCTGATCTTCTTCAGGTTTCTTTGAACTTGCCATTCCCATTGACTTCATCATACGGCATTCCTTTTTCCTGATGGTTCTCTTTGGAGGGACACTCGTTATTATCATCTCTCTTCTGGTTGGGTTATGTTATTGCAGGTAAAAAGAAAAGAGAAAAAATACTTTTATACTAAACTACACCAGGTCCAACTACAACATTAGAGCCACCTGCCATATACTGTGTAGGAGCCACCTGCGCCACCACATCAGCTCTGACCTACTGAGATGTGGACCTGAAACCTGTGGCGAAGTCCTTTATTGCCTAGTATCAGGATGTTTGCAGTGGGTCATTTGGGTCCTGCAGGTTTTCATGTGGGAACTCTGTGGATCAGAGTTGCTCTGGGTCAATGCTTTGTGCTCTTTGATGGGATTTTGCAATGTAGCAGAATCCTTTAGTCCTTTATTTTCACAATAGGGAGATCTAAGACAGGGTTGGGCAACTTCAACAATAACACCCTGGGTCAATACACCTGAATAAAATGACTAGTTCATTACCAGGCCTCTGGAGAACTTTGAGACATGTTGAGGAGTTAATTTAGCCATTTGAATCAGTTGTGTTGGATCAAGGACACATCTAAAACCTGCAGCACATCAACCCTTGAGGCCTGGAGTTCTGACAAAGTATCCCAGTTTGGCCCACTGAGCTGCTTTACTTTTGTTAATAATGACAATGTTATGACAAAGGAGTGAAAATGGCTGGAAGGTTAAAATATTCTTAGACTTAGACAAACTCCCTGAATCATAAAGATATGAACAATAGTTTACTTACAGCAACTCTGCTGTCATGTCATGCATATTGCAATTACCTGATCATAGTGACCAGAACAAAAACCTTCACACAAAGGCTCACTAATTCAAAAGTGCTGTCCAATCTCTAACTTTCAGTATAACCATGTCCTATATGGGCTATCACTTAGAAGTCACAATATACTTTTAAGTGAATATTTCACTGAAAACCCTCTATCAAATATTCATACTGTGGTCATGTAGCATCACCCAGTTCTGCATAATACAGGTAATGACACGTGTATCATAAACCTTTGCCCTTTACACACTTGCTGGGCTCAATAGGACTATCAGGGACGAGCTGTTGATAGTTTTCTGTGGTGTATTCCTTTAAAGAATAAAAAATTAATCTTAAATTTACCCAAATAATCATTTACTAATGTCCTGGTTTACCTGCAGGTGTTCCTCTGGTGAAACTAAAGCAGCAAAGATCCTACCAGTGACAACAAAAGACCAAAAAACTTCAACATGTGATGATGATCTCTTTGAAGGGAAAGCTTCTCATTCACAGGACCAGCAACCTGAAGAAAAGAGGGACAGTAGACACAATGCTTCTTTCATAGCCAACACCAGTGCTGTGGCCATTATGCTGGAGAATGATATGAACACGGACCTGAACGATTTGACGTGTTCACACAAGACTTCAGAACAAAGAGTTTCTGTATCTCTGACAGATAATTTGTTTTTCTACAACCAGCCTGTTGCAATTCTTCACACTCCAGCTTTCTTCCATTTAGAGGAGCAACCAGAGCAGGCCCAGTGGAGCAAGTCAGCCACCCTGCCCCGTGCAGGGGCTTCAAATGGTGCTGCCACAGAGCCTTTGAGTAATGAAAACTTCACCCAGACACAGACAAAAGGTTCGCCTGAGACCCAGAACCAGGCAGCAGAAACTGAAGACAAGCTTGGAGCTTCAGGTGGCTCCCAGACAGCAACCTCCACCAACACATCCAGGCTCCCAGAGTCAGTGTCAGTGCCCGGGACGTTACATAAAATCTTGGACAGCAGGCACTCTGTGCACGGACAATCCAATATCTCCTCACTTCAGCCTCCTCGGGCCTGGTTTGTCTCACTGGAGGGCAAGCCTGCAGCTGAGATCCATTACGCTGTGTCAGAGCAACAGAGGAGACGGAGACCAGTCGAGAGTCGAGAGACCAGTTTAGACTCTGGGGTGGACATGAGTGAACTGAACCAGACGTCTGGCAGGAGGGCGGTAACGCTGGAGCGAAACGCTACTTTTGTCAAAAGCGCATCGAGCAGTAAACATAAGTCTGCACAGTGACTCATCTCTAACAGCCTTATTACCCATATCGCTCCAAGTTTGTTAATGAACAGCATCACGTTTGTATCACAGGGGAATTATGTATGTTATTCATGAGATTCAGTGCATTTCTGCCATAAGACCTCATAATGTCTGCATTTCAGCTACTGTACATCTAGAAGAGTCCACATTTCACAACAGAGCGTATGGACTTGGTGATCGTTCGCTGTGGATGTAACAATACATGTGCTTTTAACAGCTTCTAACATGTGTATGCACTCAAAGACTAATGTATAATATTATAGTAAGATGTTGTATATTCATTTATTTTGTGTTACATATTTCTGTTTTCATGTAAATTGCTAATGTGATATAAAATACCGGAACCTGGTGATGTTTAAAAGATTTTGTTTGTTTATCAGAGGGAAAATCAGAGGGAGAAGTCATGTAAATCCACATGTTTGTTTCTGTGTTAATGCAGGAAAAATACATGCATCCATTTTTTTCTACTTATTCAAGTCACAGTGGGAGGTGGGGTAAACCCGGGACAGGTCACTAATCAGTCTCAGCACTAACACGGAGACAGACAAACATTGACACTCTCAGCCTGTTCAGGATCACCAGTGGACCAAACCCCATGCAGGTGTTTGGACTGTGGGAGGAACCCATGTACCAAAAAGACAAGCCAGAGCTCTCACAGACAGGCTCCAGGCTGGATTCAGTCTTGTTGCTGGGAAGCAACAGTGCTAGCTAACACCTCGATAATAGCCAGTACTGTCACAACCTGGCAACTTTGAGCCATGACAAAAGGTGAACATTCCTTTAGGGTATGCATGTGTGTGGAGATGTGAGTGTTGTAAATACAGTGAATTACAAATAGCAATAGAAAAACAAGTGGAACACAGGGTGTGAGGGCAAACAGGTCCATGTGAAGCAGGAAGGAAGAAGAAAGGGCCAATACAGAGCCCAGATATTGCCTTTTGGCTCAAGCCACTAAAGCCCTGAAACACACGAAGGAAAGGTTTAAAGTAAGGGTGGTCATAATATGTTCGATTTAAAATTACAGACCTGAAAACAGCTAAACTGCTAAAACAGAAACAGAAAAACAAGTTTGTCGGTTAAAACATTTTGCCTTTGCCTTTCATCACTCTCTTTATTCTAAAAATGCTGAATTATAGATATAATTGAGAACATATACATTCAGAATTTTGAGCCAATTGTTAGAAACCATCACTGGCTGACATCCCAAGGAGCCAGACTTTCGTGTTATTTTTCCTTTTTTTTTTGGACATTGGCTGCGTTTTCACTCATTTTCAATCCAGTCTCATACTAAGATAAAAAATAAGGTCCTGAGATGCATCTGCCCTTTCAGTTGTTCCATCTGCTTTTCACTAAAACCCCATCAGAAATGGTTGCAGTGGAAGGAGCCATTCTTGAGAAAAGGCTGAGGTATGCAATTTTACACAAGAACTATTCTGAAAATTAGTCCAACAAGTTTTATGTTGTGATGTTTGTTTTAGTTCAAAGTGCCAACTTATACGGAGAGGAGAGAGGTACAACAGTGAGTATCTACAACTATAAAACACCTTAATATCACCTACATGGACCTCAACACTATTGAAGCAGTGTCATCTTGCAGGAGGACAGAACAGAAGGCAGAAAAATGCTTGCTGCACCTACTTCCCATTTTCTTAGCAACATATAAAGAAAGAGAAGGTGGCTCAACACTGCACATATTTGCAACAAGGAGCAACAATGCACACCGAGAGAAGGGATCAGACTCATGAAGCTCACCTTTGTAACCCGCCATGTACCTGACATAAGGTAGAATCTACATTTATGAAACAGGGAGTTAGAAAGAGGCAGCGTGATTGGTACATTTCATAATTCACATAAGCAGCTGAGCTCTGATAGGATTCGATACCAGTCTGAGCAACAGAGACCTTGACCACAGTTGTAACCCACCAGTTAGTCTGCTGATTCTAATTTCACCTTAAAAGAAGAGAAACCTCAAAACAACAAAAACGAGTAATTAACACTACGCAATAAATCAATTAATAGCCAAACACAGCACAATCTGATTCTTGGATTATTTTGCAAAATGTAAAATTAGAATAAAACTGGACTTTCAGAAAGCACCTTAACAAACCCAGCCTCACTCTGAGCAGCTGATCAGTCAGCTCAGTCAGTTTTGAGTATGCTCAGCCGGAGTTAAGCACATTTATGACATTTTTTAAACTCCAAAAACAGCATGTGGTCACATCATCAACAAGGCCATTCTGATGAAGCAGGCTGTTTATTTTCTCAAGATTTCTAAGTTGTGTTCAGTTTGATTTCATAAAGTAGTCTGAACCTAAACTGTCTCACATCTTATTTACAATGGGGAAAACTAAAAATGGGCCAGCTGGGATCCTAACTGGGCATGTGAGTATGCTGCCTGTGTGTTACCAGTATTATACTGTAGTTTGCATGCCTGTCGATGTGTTTGCATGCCACGTCAACAGAATCAGGAAGTAACGAAACTTTTTTTTATTTCACAGAACGACAACCACAAGAAGCCCTGGCCCTTCCTTTTCCTGCTAAACTTTAATCGCTCGCTTTAGAGTCAAGTCATGACTGATTTTCTGTCAACAAAGGTAAGCAGCATGTATTTGCCATGTAATGTAGTCCATGTAATTCTACCAGTGATATTATTTCGACTTGATATGCATTAAGAAACATTGGTTTTATTTTAGCCTATACATACTACTGTTAACCATTCCTCGTCGTCAGTCCCCTGACCGTGGTCGGGAGACGCGAGGGGAGATGCTTCCTCCAGGGCCGAAGTTTGTCCTCCTTCGGGGTTAACTCCCTTCACTTTTGTGGAGTAGTGAGGCAGACAGAAATCAGCCGAGGCACCGGAGAGTACTGAAGAGATGAGGCTTTAATAACAGTACTGCACACTTCGAAAGCACACTGCATAGCCTGTGGCCCGTTAGAGCGCTGCTCCCGGTCGCCCTCTCTACCCATGACACACACTCTCTCTTTTTCTCCTCTTTCGCTCCCCGCGTTTCCTTCACGCGCATGCTCACACACACATCACATACACTCCTTACTGCACCCAGTCACACACAAGACGGCAATTCCCGCAACACTACTCTGTAAAGGCTCTGTAAATAGTTTGCATGTACAGGGGCGTAAGCGGCTTGGTCCTTTACGCACAGAAAATTACGCAATCTATTGCCATGTAATCTATTCCATATGTGGCACATATTTTAAGAGAAGTCCTTAAAGGCACCATTATAGCAGAAGATGCTTCTTCCCAGCATGGTACCAGAATCTTTACTTGTGAGGTTTTGAGTTTATTCATTTAGTACCTAATCGGGCAGAGCACGTGACCCTTGATATTACGCTAACCCAGTAAAACACTTTCGATTCCGTTTGAATAGTTTTCATTTTACGCCAAAGATAAAACCGTTCAAAGTTCGGAAATAGTAACACCGCTAAAAAAAAAAAGAAGCTCACTGTATGATGCACGCAGACCCACATTCGGACAAACAAGTCTGAGTCTCTCACACGAACTGCGTTAAAGTCTGTGTCATGCTCAAGAAAAACGTTGAATTCCACACAGTATGTCTGCACTATTTCAGGCCACCGACAAACTAAACTCACAGCTCAACAGACTGTGCGTATGGCTTTCGAGTGACCCTGAGTACATCCTGGAGCACTGCGGGGATATCCTATCCGTGAATGAATATAAAAAGGTAATAAAGCAAAGCAGTGGTTCAGAGCAGATGAGAGAACTCTTGGAAATAATCATTCAAAAAGGAGAAGATACCTGTCAGAACTTTATTGACACTCTGAGGAAGCGCCAAGGACACTTCCCACAACTGAAGCAGTTTTTCGTCACTGAAGCTGAAGGTGTGTGAAAGTCCCGTGTGGTCTGGGCCGAAATGGGCCTGTGAGATTACCACCAAAGGAAAGCTGAGATTACATTATTCATATATGTCTATTTTATAGTTCCAGGTTCATCCACTCCAAGCATGTTTGCTGATGGTAGCAGTGTTGTGTCCTGCAGAGAAATTACAAACACAACTGCAAAAAACATTTCAATTAACATTCAAACAGTAAGCCAGCCGGCAGACAGCAGTTTGTCTGGTAAGAGGTTTTTTTTTATATTTTTTTCTATGTGGAATCATATAAGGGAAACCATTAAATGCACTCATTAGCACTTTATATTAGGTACACCTTTTCAACTGCTTTCAATACAAACATCTACTCAGCCAGTCACATGGCAGCATCTCAGTGCATTAAGGCAAGTAGACATGTTCAAAACAAGCTGCTGAAGCTCAAACCAAGCATCAGGATAGGGGAAAAAAACGATTTGAGTGAATTTGAAGTTAATTTGGTTTGGTAGTAGTTCATTATTATACAAGCAGTGAAACAGCTATTTTGCTGTATTTCAGTTGAGTCAGTAGCTATTTTCAAACATATTTCAAGTTTGTTTTCAGTTTGAGTCTTTTTATATAGATTTTATTACAACAAGCTGGAAATTAATTTTTTCTTGTTATTTTTTCTGCTTCTTACAGGAAATATTAAACCCCAAGCAGATCTCACTGCAAGTGGTGGCGGTGTTATATGTGCTGATAAAATATCAGGTGTCCATGTTGATGGGGGTATAAATTTCTCAGTGAGTGTGAATGCACCACAAGAAAACACAGGTAATATTTTGACCTTAAATATGTAATTATTGTTGTTGCTTTTTGTTAGTCTGTAATTCATAAATCAAATTATGCAAGATTAAAAAAAGACTTTTGGAAAGTAAGTAATTCCTGATGGTTTTTCTCAGGTATGGTAGAGGACACACAGCCACCTCCTGAGGTACAGTACGAGAATAGTGTTACTGGCAAGAACACACATAGAGGTGTTCACTGACACAAGATGGTATTGATGGTTTTGGGATAAGTCAGTTGAAGTTAAAGTTATGCTTCCTACACAAACAGGGGAAAAAACTGATATCCTACAGTTTTAGTAAATATTGGACATAGTAGGTCTTACCTCAAATGAACAATTGTAATATTTTCTTAGTTGGCCAATGATCTGGCACACAATCACTTGTGAGGTCAAAGTGTATTTTTTGTTTTTAGAATTTGTTACCTTATGCAGCTCTTTCTCCTAAATGTGCCACGGTACTGGCATGGTTATAGGGCATGGTTTATTCTTCCTGAGAAGACTGATTTGCCCTCCTCAGTGTATCATTGTAAACATAATAATTATTTGAATGTTCATTTTTGTCATTTCATTCTAAAAGGTAAATTCGACCGATATAACATGTAAAGTGAAACATTTCAAGCTTTTTGTGATAATTTTAGGTCAAAGCTCATTAAGAATCCCAAATTAGAGCGTCTCAAATGATTAGAATATCGTCTAAAGTCAGTCAAAAAAGGATTTGTTACAAAAGAGTGCATTTATCCACTCGGTACATGGTTGGAGCTGCTTCAAAATAAGTGGCTCAGTGCAGGGTGACATTTAGCTCAGCTGAGTGTTCCCAAAGCCTGGTAGTGACCTTCGCAGTTCTCTGTTGATTTGGGTGTTTCTCAACTTCCGTTTGGTGTTATCCCAAAGATGAGGTGCAGGTGTGGCGAGTTGGCTGGCCAGTCGAGCACAATAGTATCACGGTTGGCAAGTCATTTAATAGGAGTTGTGGCACTGTGGTCAGCTGCCAAGTCCTGCTGAAAAAACGAAATTGTCATTTCCATAAAGCTTGTCAGCAGGTGGAAGCATGCTCTAAAATCTCCTGGGAGAGGACTGTTTTGACTTTTGATTTAACACAACAACATGGTGGAACACCTTCTGTATTCAGCAAGTGAATATATAGAGCTTTTTTATAAATTTTATAAATAACATTTCCATAATAAAAATAGTGAAAACAGTTAATCACACAGGTGAATTTGTTTTTTCTGGACTGAAGTTTTGTGAATTAAGCCTCCTCACTTGGACTTTTCAGTCTTTCAGTATTTTGCTGGAAAAATATTTTCCTTTAAATGTAATTAATAATGTAGTTTGGCATGGATAAAAGAGGAATACATGGCACCAGTGAAAAAAAGAAAAAAAAAATCAAGAATTTATACAAATGCCTAGAAAAAAAAATACATTTACTTCAGACTAATCAACAATACACTGTCATCTTTTTCAGGGTCCTGCTGTGAGAAAGATCAAGGAGCACAAGGTGGAACTCATTAACTGCCTGATGGGGGATGTCTTTATCCTGCAGTGTGTGCATGCCAAAGGAATCCTCTCTCCCAGACAATATGGAAATCTGAAGCACTCCTCTAACCCAGAACAAACTGTTACCAACCTGATAGATCTTCTGATGAGTAAAGGTGAAGAGACCTGCAATCAGTTTCTCCAGATTCTTAAAGATCCTGAAGTTGATGCAACGTATCCACAACTGAAAAACATTATAAAGTAACTGAGATCAGATCATATGTAATTTTTTTTTAGCTAGGATGAAATTAAATAATGGTAAAGGGAATTTAATTTTTTGAGCAGTGTATATACACACTTGCACATTCCCACAATTTTGATGTAACTGATATACCCTTCTGCTTTTCAAAACAGGGCACTGAAGTAAAGACTATCCTCAGAGTTTCATACTAAATCTTAAGGAATTAAAAATGAAGCATGTGAAATTATTTTGTCTTGGTAGTTTGTAGATGATACACTGAGATTGGTTGTATACATGTTATAGCTATGTATGGGCACCAGGTGACAGCATGAAATATGTTTATATTGTTAGTAGAGTTTTAACTACTACTGAAGAGAACACAGATGTTACAGCACACATGAAGTTTCACAAAAGTTGAGTGTTTAATGGAATAAAATGAAACTACTTCTCACACTGCTTTTTAAACATTTTTCTTTCAGTAATAATAAAACGATGTTGCTGTAGTTTCAGTACATGGCATTTCAAACCATTTAAAAGTATCCTACTAATATCCAGGTTTTCCATTAATAATTGCTGAGCTCTAATTTAATAGCAGAATACATGTTGGTTATTCTGACTGTACTTTCCATCCCCATTGAAACAGTAATCCATCACTACAAGTTTTCCCCTCTTGTGTAATGTTGTATTCTGCTATAGTGGAGACTCTTCATAATCTACCCCAGGGCCTCCTCCCAGTAAGACATGCACGGCGAGAACACTTTACCCAGGAAGCTCAACTGGTTCCTTTCGATGTTGAAGTCATTTTAAGCAATCTTAAGGGGTTTAATATGAGTGTCCAGGGTCTCCAGCCTGTCAATAAGGGCAGAAATTTATTAGACAAGATCAAATTAATCTGATTAATTAATTAAAGTGAATGGAAGATTGTGTCACTTCAAAATAATTCTTCTGATGAGTTAAAATTGTTTTACAATGAATTATATATAAGTAAACTAATGTTTTAAAATGCATATTATAGCAAAAACTGTTCTGTACAATGCAGTCAAATATCAAATATGCTTATATGGTGAAAGCTGTTTTTAAAATTCCAGGATAAAGACTTTTTCCATTGAGTTTCTGGGTCACTTGCACTGTACTGTCAAAAACACTTATTTACATTGTTTGTAACTGAGACGTATTTTATGTTTTTATGATACAAACCATTGTTCTATATTTAAATCATACACCAGGTACAACATTACGACCACCTGCCTAATACTGTGTTGGTCCCTATTTTGCTGCCAAAACACAACTGACACAATTCGTGAAGCTGAACTTAATAAATTGTGTAAATAATCAGTATTTATTCAGATTTGGAAGTACACATTTGTTGAAGTGCGTGCTTGTGAGTCCTCAAAAGTTACACACAAATTACTGCACACATTTATAAGTCTTAGTTCATGCTTGCAGATTCGTCTGTACCCATTTGTAACCCTTCTGAGGCAACTTTCTCTCCATACTCCATTACAACTTGGGCCTTGTTACACTCACATAAATCCTTACACTTGCACATTTGTCACCATGACAGGTGCTTCCAGGTTACTTTTGTTTCTTTTGTAGGTTTAACTGTACACCAGAGAACACTTGCAAGGAGAAGTTTCCATTTTTGCATCTCTCCTGTGTTTTTGTGCCATCATGAAGTTTAGTTGCTGCTGTGTAAATTCTCCTTTTGCTTGGTTTACATTTTTCTGATATTTATTACTACTCAAAGTGTTTTTCTTAACCTCTTTCCTCACTGATGTCCAATCACGCCTTTTTGGATTTTAAACTCACTAAAAGATCTCCTCAGAGCAGCATTTCCCGATGCTGCAGTGTGAAGGCGTTGCCTACAAAGAGCATCAGGTAGAATATGGCTTTTCCAGCTTGGTAGAATTATAGCCTGTAATCATGTGTGAAATATGAAAAATAAAATGTAGATGTAAATGCACTTCTAAATAAAAGGTCTATGGATGTTTTTTGTTTACAGTTTTGGAGGTTTTAGAATATAATACTGTTAAGTTTTCAGATCCTATCCTTCACAAAATGTAGTTCAACAAGAGATGTTCTGTTTCTTTGGATGCAATCTTACCAAATACCAAAGATACAGACAATTAATAATATTTTTGGATAAAGACTGGATAAAAAGCACAAGTAGGAGTATTGGTTGGTTGAAACCAACCAAAGTTTCCATTATTTGATTCTGGAAAATTGCACTGAAAGAAAATTTGTTTGTTCAGGGTTTTAAGTGAGACTTACGAAGTTAGTAAGTATATGTCACACACAAAGGACATGCAGAGGGTTGGTGTGACAGAGAAGAATAGTAGGGATGGGGTGAGACTGTGGATGGTGATCTACTGTGGTGTCCACTAAGGGAGCGACTGAAAGAGGAATAAGTGTAATGTTTATTCACTCTGACTGAATTTTAGACATTGTTTGAAATGAATTCCCATAACTGACGGAGCAAATTAAGCCCTGTGAAAGGTGACTTCAGTCAGTGTGTGTGTCTGTGACTGAATGATATTAATCACAGTTGTAGTAAATGTTTTTTTTTTGTTTTATTTCGTTTATTACCTGGAAGTAGTACTTCATGTTACAGATTTTAACTGAATTATGCTGCTGAACAGTAAGACTTAGCCAGACAGAGGAAAATAATTAATGTCCTTTGTTCAGTGACTTTTTATAATTTAATATGAAGCTGAGAGGAAAATACCATCCAGACGAATTGTAGAATTCAAAATGTGTGTTGACGACCTCTTTGCTGAAAGTTTTTATATATTGATTTCTCATGGATGAATTTATCCCACCACAACCAGACTTGGAGGAAACTGAAGATTTAAAACTCCGCAGTTTCAGTTTTCTTCAGGTTATTGATCAGGGACTGTGTTACACCTGCATGATGATGCTACAGGTGCCTACAAAGAGCAGCTGGTTGGTCAAATTAAGCTTGGAAATGTTTAGAAATTTAGATTGCAAATAAATTTCTAAACTATTTGGAATTTTAAGTGTAGCAAAACATACTGATGCACATTTCAAGTGTTCAAAGCAGCCTATGCTATGATGTAGAGCCACTAGAGGTCACAATTACACAGTTTTTGAGTTTGAGTTTACTTGCATATAGGCAGGTTGGTTAAGTCTGCTTGGATCACACAGCATTGCATGCTTTGTTCTACATAGCACACACTGAGACAATGTTCCACATTTTTACTGGTTTAAGTTTAAAACTTGTGAGTTTCACAAGAAGCGTGTGATTCAAATAGGCTTATGGAAACATCCTTACTGAAACCCAGAGGTGTTTAGCAGAGATCATCTGCTAAATAAGAGTTGTTTTAACAATCAATGCAGCAGAAATAGGGGACAAGCAAGTAGGAGTGATACTAGTGACACTAGATTACAATCAAACCTTAGCTTCCACTTGAATTTAAATAAAAATTTTGATTATTTGTTCTTCTTATGATCAATGCTAAACCTTTAACCTGCATAGTTTGGTCATGTTTTACACGATACATCCCTTTGCTTTACATTTACTTTGCTGTGATCCAATCACCCTGCTTACTTATGGTCTCATGAATTAAAATTCCAGTTTCTAAACAATTTCATCACCCAGGCAAGTAGTTTGATACGATTCTGGCTGTTTACCTTGCTGCTTCCATGAATAAATGATTAAATGTCAGAAAACATGTATGTATGTATGTATGTATGTATTCATCCATCCATTCGCTTCCGCTTATGCTGTTCAGGGTCGCGGGGGGCGCTGGAGCCTATCCCAGCTGTCATAGGGCGAGAGGCAGGGTACACCCTGGACAGGCCGGCAGTCTGTCACAGGGCCAACACACAGGGACAGACAACCATTTGCACTCACATTCATTCGTTCATTCGCACGTAGTGACAATTTGGATTATCCAATTAACCTATCCCCACTAGGTGCATGTCTTTGGACGGTGGGAGGAAGCCAGAGTACCCGGAGGGAACCCACGCAAACACGGGGAGAACATGCAAACTCCACACAGAAAGACCCCGGCCTGATGTTGGAATTGAACTGAGGACCTTCTTGCTGTGCGGCAACAGTGCTAACCACCGTGCCACCGTGCTGCCCTGTATGTATGTATGTATATATATAATTTCATTGAAAAATACATTTATTTCAATAGCTTCCAGATCAGGGTGTGTGACGTTTACCCCGTCCAAACTTCACAGTCAAGACCTCACAGTGTAAATTGTAATCACAGCAAATAGATGTGGACAGGATCCTATCCAACTGCCTCTGCTGAATATGAGTATTCAGCAGACTCACATTCAGTGACACTCCCCCTGCCTCTGGTCAACAGCCAACGACCGACGGCCTCTTTCCAGGACGCAAAGAGCTCTGGATTTGTGGAGTAAGAGTACAGAAACAAGGTGGCTGGAGGATCCGTTTGGAATGGAAACAGTCTGACGCACTTAGGCGATCATAAAACGCCAACGGGATTATCGCCGGCCTATGGGGGACAGTGAATGACACACTCTTACACCTCATGTGAACTGTGTGATTGCCTCACCACAGTATATTTCTCTGTCATTTTTATGGCTGTTAGCCTCTATTGAGGCAAAAGAACCCAACTGTGAGTGATTTGTTGAAGGAACTATTATCACATGACAAAAAGCTTTTCTCTATTTACAGTGAACCACATTTGGCATGTTCTTTGCTGGCTGTCAGACAGTTGTTCAAAGGTCCTCCAGTGATTTAGCTTTGTGGTCGTGTGCAATACTGTCTGATAAACATCTGTGGCTGAAAAATTAAGCCAAGTGAGCTGGTGCCAAAAACTGCATTTCCTCAAGGGGTCCCTTGGGAGTGGGTCTAAAAGTGAGTCAATCCCCACAGACTCTGGAAAAAAGTCCAACTTTACAGCAGAAATAAACCTGTTGACAGCCGGGCATGAAAAACTATTTGTCTATATTGCTAATATAATCTTTTATGCTGATGTTCTTTTAAAGGATCAATTTGAATTTCATTAAGGCTTAAAGTTATTAACTATGCTATTTCAACCAACAAAACTGGATTACTCAACCTTTTTGGGTTTATTTATCTGGTTACTAATGATTTGCTGAGTTGAATTCTAGTATTTTGTATGTAAGTTTTAGCACTAATTGTCTTTCTGTGTCTGTGTGAGGCTCCATTCAGTTTATGGATACATATTGCTAACCAAGCTAGCTAGCTTTTAGCAATACACCCTCCATCCAAATATTATCACTTCTGCCTCCAAAAACCCCACATAGCATTGACCACAATACAAATATCAATCCTTCACGAACCAAATGTTAATGTCATAGTGGTTATATACAGTCTGTAACTAATAAAGGACAGTTTGAAAACAAATCTGAAGAAACAGAAATGGTTTATAAATAAATAAACCATTTCTGTTTCTTCAGATTTTTGACTGTTTTTCTTAAGACCAGATTCTCACACATCTGAAAATGTAAGTTGACAACTGACTGAAGAAATGTAGATATGATAAACAAGTGGCAACTGATGTAGCATTGAGCCGCTAGCATCAAGAAAAAGTGAGCAGCCACCTGAAGAGTCAGCTCTGACTTAACGCCACACTTAATTCAGTTTGACTGAACTTTGGAACGTGATACAGGTAAAGCAAGCCTTGTGTGTTAGTTTAAACATCGTCAGTCAATTTTATAGACTTGTTATTTTCTTTAAACTTTTTAATTTTAACAGTAAATTTGACCATATAAGAATTTACTTGGTCCTCTTCTGTTCTGTAATGCTGTCGGCACTAATTTCGCCAAATAACATCAGTTCTAGTGATGCCGCCCTTGAAACCAAAGCCTGACATTCATGGACCATGTTAGCATGATAATAGAGAACCAAACGCTAAACATTAGCATGTCCTATTGTTCTGTATTCCCCCTGTCCTCCTGGCGTAGGGGACATTTTTCACATGCCACTGCACTGCCAAGGTTTCGAAATATGAACCCCTGCTGAGCCAGACAATGAATGCAACCGGGCGGTGAAAAGGGTATATCTGTTACACAGGCGAGAGGCCAGCTCAACAGTATTTATTTTAACAGCAGGCTATTAGCAGGAATGCTTGTCTTGTGTATTTACACGGGTTTCTAGTTGTAGAGACGCAGGGTTACAGACTGTACTAGATGAAGACCAAGCTGCATGTGACAGCGATTTGAGAGCCATCATCTTAAGACTCAGAATATAACTTTTTTTTGTTTTTGTTCTTTAAGAATAAAAACAATAATATAAGCTAAAAACCTGGTACTAGTGTACAAAAATACCACGTAAAAGATTGTTAGGAATGTTAAGTTGAATGGAATAGAAATGCTTTATTCTTCCCTTGAAGAAAGAAAACATGAAATCAGTTCTGTTTGTTTGTGTGTCTGTTTGTTAGCAGTTTAGCATAATGATAATATTAATAGTCTTGAAATTATGTGTAATCATAAATAATATCAGCTCGAGATGACTTAATTTTGGTGAAAATGGGTCAATGTTAAGTTCCAACCAAATGTAAAAATCAATAAAACTTTAATGAATTATCTTCAAACTACAAAGCCTTGGGGGACATGATTACTTAGGTTGGCTAAGCATTTGACCTTGACCTACATTGTTAGTGCCCAAGGTCAAAGCTGACATTGGAAAAAAAAATGTCAAGAAACAGTATGAAGTAATATATCACATGAAAGGGTATTGAGAGAGTTGTACAACACACTTTTTAATTTTTTTTATATGATGCTCTATGACGTTACAATGTTGCTATAGCAGGCTGATGTCATCATACTGTACTAAAAACAGGCTGATGCCAGCAAAAACATAAAACCTCAAAGTCTTAGTATAGGTCTGGCGCTTTGGGGGGAGTTGTGCTTTCTGTTTGCTCTTGCTCTTATTGTAATTATGATTTGGCAGATGATGTTGTTCTATTTGTCAAATGAATTAAAAGATTGAATAAAAAATAAACATTAGAAAGCACAAAACTGCTTTTAATCTCATTTACTTCACATAACTGATAAGCCTAATATTTTACATACCTATCAAAATTACTGCATTTAAATTCATTTCAAAAGACTAATGGCAACCCTAAACTTGCTGCAATAAATATTTTTTATATTAAAGCAGCTATAATAAATCTTTTACCAAAGAACTTTACGATGAATTGCTGAAAATTGCAGAGAGTTTTTGCCTGACTCTGCAGCCTCCCTCAGCAGAGGTAAAACAGAGTAAATATTGGACTTGTGTTCCCACGATGATCAGAAACATGATCTACACTCTGGTTTGCTCAGTTTCTTCTCCATTGAGGAGGTAAGCAACTGTTTACTAAGCATTCACATGGTTTGACAATGTATTAACATGTCAATGTCTAGTGCTGCCCCTGAAAAACCCCCAAAACAAAACCACCACCCAACAGATGGCCCAAATTTTCAAAAATGTTCATGAGCGTCTGCAGCCAAAGAACATTATGTGCTTCTCATAAATTAAACCTTGCTGTTATTAATAATTTGTCCCACGTTTTGCTTTTAAGGAACGCCTATTATACTCCTTGTCAGTAGTATAATTACCACATTAAAATACAATACTATTACGCCTTCCTACTGCCTTTGAATCCCGTTTTCCTCATGTAAGGTACTAAGTCGCTGAAGCAGAAGATATTTTAAAGCCCAGCTACCAAATGGACAACACCTGTATTAAATATACGTTAGAGAAATTATGTTTTACAATGTCAGTGTGTTTTCTCAATGTTGAACATTTTAAAAGCATACATCAGCCACATGCTTAGAGTAATTATTTGTCTTCTAACAGATCTCAGCTGTAGCTGACAGTTTGTTATTTAAAGAGGTTTGTGCAGCGTGGTTGGGTTTGGAAACAATAAGTCGAATTGACAGGTTTCCCTGCCTGCAGCGCATCTCCATCTGGAGCTCTTGACTAATGTTTCTTGGAGTTATCGTGACACAGTCCGCCTTCCTCTGCGTGCACACCAGTCACCATGTTGACCCAAAATAGAGCTGCTTGGCATAAATGAGTTCAGATTTAGCCTGCGGCTGAGAAGGGGTAGACATGGATACCCTGGCAGACTGCTGGGTCTGAAGTGTCACTTCACTTCCAACAGTTTTTGTCTGTCGCATATTGATATGTAGCCATGAAGGCATAGAGGTTTTTGTTTTTGCCATCTATTGGCTTCACCTAGGTTTGCAATTACCGTAAACCCTCTAGCTAACCCTTGCATAATAAAGGGAACCTGTTAGAGGAACCTACAAAGTGTTCCTCAAAGCTTAATTAGCCTCTGTGTTATTTATGTAAAAACAATTAATTTTTTTCTGTACATGCAGACTTTTACATTGAAGACTGTATCCCT